ATAGTTAAAGCACCAAATTTTGGATCTCACTTATCGTCCACAATGCGCTTGGGAGTTGAAGAGTTGAGGGTGCTCCCATGAATAGTTGCGCTCCCTGCATCAGAGGGACAGTTCTTTACATTGTCGATTGTCGTTTACAATTATGCCCAACTCATGAGAAGATGGTGGCTATAAGCCTATAACTATCACGATTTTTGAATAAAAAAATACTAAATTAATGTAATCAGTTATTAAATATTGTTGGGCTTAAAACTTGGATATCCAATCCGTCATTCACAATCTAACACCTCATTAAAAGAAAAATGCATCTTCTCCTATTCTCCTTCAAGTAAGGGCCGAAATGCTCAAGTTCCTTGGCCCTTAATATAACAGTCTATAACTTTCCCAGTCTAAATCAAGCTGTCGTTAAAAAAATGGTTCATTAAGCCTGGAGATTGATTCTGTGCATGTTTTTATCTTAAAAAAAAAAAAAAAACATATCCAAACATTTTTTTCACGTAAGGAAGAGAATAATTCACAAATTTTTTTTCCCTTTCGCTCCTTTTTCTTATATTGACCGTCGGCGTCGGCTCGAAAGTGAAGCCTGGATTTTGCATGCGGGGCCATCCACAAATGAAAACGTGGTCCTGAGCTCCATAGCCAACGATCTCACGGTTTTCAACAAAAATCTGGCTGATGCATAATACAGTTACCGTTAATCTTACTCTTTGGGTGTGCCTGTTACTCCAGCCTCACATTTCTCTGAGAAAATGGCTGCCACCCTCTCTGCTCGGCCCCACCGTCTGTTCCCCGGTTCCGCCTTCCCTACACCGCTGGTCAGACGACTTCACTCTTCTCTCATCGGAAACTCCATAATCACCGAACCCTGGAGAGTCTCGCTCATCTCCTGTAGGCGCTCCTTAACGAGGACGGCCCCGCCAGTTAAATCGGGCTCTAGAGCCGATGACTCGGCGCCTTACGAGATGTCCGTTGAAAACGCCCTCAAGCTGCTTGGAGTCTCTGAGGGTGCTTCCTTCGATGACATACTCCGCGCAAAGAACTCTATCCTCGCCAATTGTAAAGATGACCAGGAATCGATTGCCCAGGTTTTCTTATCGGCTCCTTTGCATTGGATTGAATTCTATCCTAGATTCTATGCGATTTTCGGAGATTTTTGTGTGATTTTGATTCCTTTTCCCTCCTTCATTATCGAGGGCGTCCCCTCGTCGGCTGTGAAGCTCATCACATTTTTCCTTTTTTTTTTTTGTTGCTAAAATCTTGCAATCAATAACATTCGTTTATAAAAATAGAATATTTTTTGCTTCTGGGTCTGATTTACGATGAATTTTCCGTATTATTCCCAGTAAATCCTGATCCAGTTACTGGATTTTGCTTCTGAGATGGATCATAGGTCGGTAGTTCTAGTTGATTTCAGATTTTCTCTTTTAGATAACTATGTAATGTTAGTCTAAGTAAAGCAGAGTGTCCATACATTTTTTTAAGGTTTGATCGTTACAGTTAATTGACAACTGAAGCATACTCATTCTGTTTCAACAAGTTAATTTGTCCCCTGTCATTTGTGCATAAATCGTACTTGATTTCTCCACTGCTTGATTCTCCATTGACCGAACAAAAGATAAGTGTATCATTTGGAAATGTTACACCAAAAATATGAACATAAAGTATTACAATCTCTGTTTTCTTTCCCCCTTCCAAACCATAAGGTCCAATCCAACCTCCTTGCAGTTTCCTGCTAGTCAGCATGGCATTAGATGCTTATATCGATGCTTAACTCCTTTTAATTTCTTCGTGGAGTCAATCTGCCTTTTGATACGATTGATGTATGATATTCTAGGTTGAGGCTGCATACGACATGTTACTTATGAGGAGCCTAACTCAGCGGCGAGCAGGAAAAGTGGTGAATAGTAGCATTCGTTATGCAGATGTCAAACCTATTAAGCCCCCAGGTCTGAGATCAACACCTCAATGGTTGCAAGCAACTATGAAGAATTCGCCTGTTTCTATTGAAACTCCTCCAACTAGTGATTTAGGAGTGCAAGCTGGAGTATATGGTGCCTTGATGGGTCTGACCTATATCAATGGAGTTTCTTCGCCCTCTGCACCTTATGCGGGAGCTGATGTTCCTGGACTTATCTTGGCTAGTAGCTTTGGAGCTTCGTTGTACTTCATGACCAAAAAGAATGTTAAGTTGGGTAAGAAGTCTTCTCTCACACTGCCCACTATATTTAGGTTCGTCAAATTAAAAGAAGTTTTGATCTAAACTACAGCTCGGTATTTGGTGGATGCTTACTCTTAAGGTCATGGTGATGGCTCTTAGTCTGCTTTGTTCAGTGGGTTGCTGCAATACAAAGATGTTGCAAACAAAGGAATTCCATAAAGAGCGGGAAAACAATCAAAGAAGAAACTAAAGATGGAAAGTTTTACCCTTTTTTTATTATTTAATAGAACTGTAGAATTTCATGGTAAATATAGAGGTGTGAAGTATTGGAGGTAATGACTGGTGTGGACGGACCTCATATGTTAGTTGCTTTGTTTAAAACTATGAAAAGTTATTGATTTTCTTCTGAGATGATGATACTAATCATAACATTAGTTCATTTTCAATCCATTCATGCTACTTGATAGCATGCCATGTGATGAAACTATCAATGGCATTGTGATGAGACCTAGAGCAGTGAGTGCCAGCTTAACTATCACGTCAGAATTTCTAGAACAAGGTCCTTCTACCTGTTGAATCGACCTCAGTTCTTTCAATTCTAGTTAAGTTTGGTTCTAGCCTTCTAAGTTAATACAAAATATTTGATATTAATGATGCTGCTATTGGGGATGCTTTTTCTTGAGTTTATTTTCCCCGGGCTGCCCCTTTTGCCATCTCCATGGTCTTTTTACCTCCTTAATAAAATCATTTATCTTTTTACGTCCCACCTCTCCCCCTTCGAAGTTCATGCTATGGGGATTGCCTTAAATTTTGGGTGGTTTTTTCTGCGTTGTTACTTTTTGCAGGGAAAGCCACCGTTATAACCATAGGAGGGCTCGTAGCTGGTGCAGTGATAGGTTCGGCGGTTGAGAGTTGGTTGCAGGTAGACATTGTCCCATTTCTGGGCATTCATTTTCCTGCTACTGTGGTTAGTGAAATCATAATTCTCTCTCAATTCTTGGTTTCCCTGTACCTCAGATAGGTAAGCAGGAGAGCGAAGTGATCTTGTATAAAAAGGGAAAAAAAAAATAATAATAAGACTTGTAATTATCCATTGGCATCGGCATGTTCATACCCAAGCTTTTGTTTTTTCCCCTAGCTTGTGAATCATTGCACATTGTACAAAACTCTGAAGTCTGAATAGAACGCTGTAGCATAACTTGCCAAATTAGAAGCATGAAACTTATATTGGTTGGACTGCTTCTGGTTTGTGTTCACTGCCAGTGAGTGCGCATGGTTTATATGCCCATTTCTTTTCACAAGTCTTTTTAATTGAACCATGCAAATTAAAAAATAGTTAAAATAAGTTAGAAGTCTCTTTTCCCCACAAATTACTAAACTATTCGAAAACAAACTACTTTTAATTATATCCACATTAATTACAACAAAATAAAACTAAACATCAGGGGATTGTAATCCCAAAGAATCATTATGCACTAGGGTCAACATGCTATCAGGGACCTTATTATAATAAGCAGAAGAGAGGATCCCAATCTTGGCCAGACTATAAGCGACCAGATATGTCTCTCTAGGAGCATATTGGAATTTTACCGTCCAGCTACGTTTCTGCATCTGCACAATTTCCATCATTACTGCAGAACCAGTGTTAATAGTGGCTCGACTCTGGCTTCTTTGAATATTGAGCAGGAGTAGTTTACAATCCGTCTCAACAACCAACTCTTCAAACCCAAAATCCCAAGCTAACATCAATCCCTTCCAAGCTCCCCCATTCTTGTTCTTTGCTTTCCTTTTTTTCTTAGAAGGTACAGTACAAACTAAAGCTTGCTATGAATGACAGATAGAAGAGAATCCATGAATCAATCTCCAAAACTCTTATACACACAATACATGATCACAATCCAATACTCCACTTGATTTAAAATATAGGATATTGGCTAGGTTGTGTGTGCGCGCGCATGCATGTATGTATTCTATTATACTTTTATTTCATTATATTTCACTCAAGTAATTATTGATGATGTTTTAAATAAATTAAATATTATATTAATTTTACACAAGAATACGATTAGAAATGTATGAAATTTTTTTAAAAATTAATATTTTAATTAATATTTTTTAGAAATATAAATTAATTAATAATAACTTATGTCATGATTTAGAGAAGGTAATGAAAAAATTGATTGCTTAACTAGGATTCAGATATATATGTATAAGCTGGGAGAACATGTATTTTTAGTTTTTATTGGTGGGGGAACTTCGCCTCGGATAGGGAGTATATTTCTTTTTTGTGATTTTTGGGGCATCAACGATGAGGTGCTATGACTCAATACTTATAATTATATCCAAGGTTTTAGAAATTAAATCGATATTTAATCTATTGAGGTATTGATTTACCATTTAATGATCGGATTGTGATTAAACAGATTATAAATAAATTAATATATTTTAAATTTTATATTAATTTTTATATGAAAATTATGATGAAAAAATTGTAAACAGAATTTCCAATAATAATGAAATTTAAATGAAATAAAAAGAGCTAATAAAAAATTAATAGTTAATAATCCTTGTACCAAAAAATAAAATAAAAATTATATGTTTTCCCCTTGCAAACTCTGGGAATATATACTATGCAATACACAGTATTATAAATTTGATAACTTGTTATGCAGTGAGAGTATATTTTTTAAAAAACACAGACATGATATATAATAAGAAATCGAACAAATCCATAACTTGTTATGCAGTGAAAGTATTGGATGGAGATGTAAAATGAGGAACATTATTTGTAAGAATATGTAACGACATGCTGATAGGAAATTAATTAAGAAGAAGAAGAAGATGGAAACGCAAGGAAAGGAAGTGCAAACAACTATTTTGGGTTCCTAGTTCTTACAGCAAGGAATAACAAATAACGACGAATACACGGGTACAATTAAATCCAACACCTTAGAAATGACTGGTGTCTCAGCGAGCTGCTTCGACAGGAACTGAATTAGAATCACACACAGATCCCCACAGCACCAGTTTCATGTTTGGCTGTGGTAGTTTTCACCATCGTAACCCTCTATGAAAGACACCCCCCCACCCTTCTCAGCATTTTCGCTGAATGTCGCCAGGTCATTGTACATTTTTGCGGATGCTTTGGAGAACTCTGTCAGTGATTCAAACACTTGAGAAAACCCTAATTGCAATCCATCTAACGTGATTCTCTGTGTTTCTTGCATGCAACTATGGTGCTTCTCCTTCTCCATCTCCAGTTTTCTTCTCACTGCCTCCAACTGATCCTTCTTCTCCGCCGTATACTCTTCCTCGTGCTCTGTTCCCACCTCTGGTTTTTGGTCTGTTACTTTCAACTCATTCATCTTACTTCTCACCTTGTCATTTAACCCGGAATGCCTTCTGTCCAAGTCTTTTGACAGACTATCTACTTTCCTTTTCTGTTGCTGCTCTTCACCTTGCTGAACCCACAGAGCTCTCATGTTCTTCACAACACTCTTCAACGCAAGTGTTACCATTTCATCAGGCAGCTTTTGCAGTGAAGCTAACCAGTTGTGGCAAACTACAAGCAGTGGTGGCCCGTTCGCTTGATATGGAACAGCCACAGTTTTCCTTCTGGAGTAAAATTCAACTTCAGGGACGACGAACTTGCTTAGCCATCCATACAAAGCTTCAACATATGCCTTTTGAGCAGCAATATACTGCCTGAAGCACGCGTGCCAATTCCGAAGCTGAGTTTCAAGCCGTACAGTTGCCAATCTGTGAGATTCATTGCAGAATTTCCCGTACGTGGGACAGGTGAAAGACTTCACTTCTGAGAGAATCCTTCTCTGTGTTTCATGGGATTCCAACAGAACTTTCCAAGTTTGTGATAGGCTGCATCAGGAAAAAGAAAAATAAAAAACCAGATTGAAACTCAAATTATCTGAGTCTTTTTAGTTCCCCATGCAATATCTCACCCTTTTAGAAGCTCAACAATTTGCGGCTGCAATTCTTCATCTCTTATTCTCTGAGTTCTTTTTGAGATTGACTCTGCGCGCCGAATTGCAACCAAGATGCCGGCATACAAGTCTTTCACTGCAGCTCTTGTCTTGTCCATACTTTGCACATCATCTCCTCTGACATCCTTGTTTCTCAATTGTGCACACTTTTTCTCATAATTTTTCCTCGTTATATCTCCTGCCTATGGTAAAATTTTTATTTTTTATTTCTTTTTGGTTAATATTGGAGTAAGACATAACAAGCAGGGAACCAAAGGCATGCTTGAAAAAGGTAAAAACCAGGAATATTACAATAAAGTTGTCAGTTTACATTTTAAAAAAAAAACAAAAGAAAAAAAAGTCTTGGTACATTGTGTTGCTTTAAAAAAGAAATTCATCAAAACAAATGCAAAACATTATGAAACAAGGAAAGAAACAACTGACAGCTGATCATATATATCATGAGACATGATGCAATTGACAGAGGCTAATCATACAGTAAATCTATCCCATAAAGCAATAAATTGTTCACTTTAGCAACGAAAGAGCTCACAAGTCTCTTTAAACTATGGTGTCAGAAGTATGAGACAATCCACTCTAAAATGATCGGCGGATTGGTCTACTTCTCTCTCCAAATTCACACATTTTTCTCCAGCATCATATCTGATACAAGCCTTATTTTGTACTGGTAGCACACACAGACACTAATCACTGTAGATATGTCATCACTCTGATCTGATTTGGCCTCCAAGGGGGCATAATATACATTGAAGACCATATAAATCATGTGCTATAGTACAGAAAATAAAACAACATAGCTTCATTGTAAAACTAATAACAAAATGGGAAGAATTCATATCAACTCTATTACACTAGGCACCATAAAGAAATGCCTGGCCCCCAGACATCAAGATGCAAAATGTAAGATAAAGCAAGTAGGCACATCAGATGCTTATCATCATCCCTGATTCATCCCATTATACGAGCATAATATGTGTCATTATAAAAACAGAATATATAATTTCAAATACCTTAACCTCCTCATATAATTTCTTTTCCCATGCGTATAACCTTCCCAAGGTTAATGAATGGCTTCCTGAATCCATTCCCCCATAATCATCAAACAGGTCATTCTTATATTCCGTCCAAGTTGAAGAATTTTTTTTATCTGATACCACGAAGCTCTTGCATGATGAAGACTTGGAAGTGGGGCGATGCCATGTTATTGCATGAATGAGTTTGATTGAATTCTCTGCATTGAGATCAGATGAATCAAATTCTCTGAGGCTGAAACTGAAAAGTTCAGGATCAGCTTACAAACATATAAGGAGATCATCAAGTGTATGAAGGAATACAGTAGATACATCAACATATTATAGGATTAAATTTGAAACCTGGAGGTTGGAATTCATTCACAAGAATAAGTTTCAAAAGAGTGGAAAAAAAACATCCAAATTAATAACCGGCTTACACAGGAAATATTAACACGTGGAAAAGAACAGAAATTGGTAATACATAATATGCAGCGACCAGCATAGAACAAAAAATTTAGGGCCAATCTCAAAGCAGATGAAAAATCAACTCAAGTTCCAAAGGATTGGAAAGTATATCCAAATTAAGAACAGGTCTGAACAGGAAAACAACACTAACTCTTTGAGAAGAACATAAATTTAGTAATAACTTATTATATGCTGTGACAAACATAGAATTAATTCATAAAGTTAGGGCAAATATGAAACGACGTGGAATATCAACTTAATTAGATTAATTCAAGAATGGTTTCCTCCACAAGGGGAGAAGAAATCAACAAGCCCCTGTAGTTGATAAAATAAGTATAATATCCCACTTTTCTCGCTCTTATAGATGGTTCGGGGGAAGGCAGCGCATGACATCGTGTAGGCTAGATAAATCTTGTAATTGTTCCCCCTTCTCTTTCTGGCAGTTCAAATAAATTTTGGAAACTGGTTCAAATGACAAAAATTTTAGTGAAATCGGTGCTCAATATGCAGGACGACATTAACACGTCCCAGGGTACAAGATGAGCTAAGCAGAAATGTTAGAAAAAAGAGAGATCCACGAGAATAGGGAGTCCAAGCCAAGCCTATTCACCATTTTGTCAACAAATTAGAGGATGATGACCACCACGATGATGACAAAGACGACCTAAACCTTGCAGGCATATGGGAACTCGATACTTACGTGAGGCTAAGTTTTCTGGGGAACAAAGCGCTTACCTTCTTGTAACTAATATTCCTACCACTATTCAAGAAACTTGACTGCAGCCTAAATTTGATACTTGCAAACCGCACACAGAATAGATAAGCATAATATACCTGAATTTTGGCTACTACATACAAACACTTTGAAGATAGAGTCAAGAGCCAGGACCCACCTTTTATTTCCTCTAAACCAGACTGAAGGGGGATTCTATTAGCCTCCAGCATTCTGGTCACATTCTTCCCAGAATTATATGCCCTAATGAAATAATCCTCAATATCTTTCAAAGCTTCCAGCAATTCCCTTCCTTCCTCCGGTATATCTATAACAGCAAGTCCCCTCTGCTCCCTCTGGTTTTCGCTTCCAGTAGCCCTGTTTACAGCATTCACCATTTCAACATTACCACTCACATGTTCTACTACATCTTCATTTTCTTCCACAGTCACCGCCTTTTGCTGCTCAAAATCGTCTCTTTCACCTTCCTCCTCTAGCTCTGGGATCCCTTCTTCCTCCCTCACCACCCTCAAATCGTCGTCTGAGTTTCGACGATACCCACTAATAACCTCTGTCCTCGTACCCTCAAATGGGTTAAAGAAATCCCACTCGAAATCTCGCTGCGGTGATGGCATTGATGGTGGCATTTGCATGTAATAGTACTCAAAAGGTTGTTCAACTGGTTCTTCTTCTCTCATGACTTCATTTTCTCTCTTTCCCTTTTCTTCTCTCTCTTCCTCAGAAGATTCTGATTCTGAAGTTGTTGAGGAAGCACCCGAATCACGAGTGATAGCTTCATGCTTTGGCTCAAACGGTGTCTGCTGGAGGAACATTGGGTTGTTTATCACATTCTCTGTTTTCGAAGGTGCAGGGCAAGGTGGGGGAAATGTTATGAGGAAAGATGAGGAAGGAGAAGAATGGCAAGCCACGAAGAGCTTTATGGCTGCTGCTACTGCGTATAGAGAATGAAAATACTTGCAATGCTCCTCAGCAAGAGCGTATCTTTTCTCCACTGCAATCTTTAACTGGCTTTTTCTCTCTTTACAGATAGCCACAACTTCTTCTTCCTCTAGTTTAGAGGCGATACAACCCATCTCTCACTAGATGTTGGGTTCACTGCAAAGTTAGATTGCTTTGGAAGAATAGGACGGGAAAGGTTATTACTTGGAGAAGCGTGCGTGTTCTTTTTCTGAATTTTTTTTTTTTTTAATGAAGGTTCCTTTCCCTGATAGTAGTAGAAGGAGAAGATGCTTTCAACTGGGTTTTAAAGGAACATATTAAAAAGCACAGCTCTCACTACTTCGGTGCATTACAAGATTAGTATGGGTAGAAATGCAGGCACCGGAGAACTTTGAGAACAGCTCACTCCACCTGACTCTTAGCCATCTTGTTAGCACAGAAATAAAAACCAAGCAGTGGCAAATAATGGAAAATATCCCGCAAGAACAGGGTAGTTAAGATCAATATACACCCTCATCAGTGTCTTGATGATGATGGTGATGGTGATATGGAGGAAATCTAAACAAACTGTACTTTGAGCATTGAAAAACCCACAACACTGACTGGGCATTAGCAGAGACGCAGAGAGGAAGAGGATATAGAGGGAGCGAGAGGGAGATGGTAGGGGCTCGAGAAGGGGAGAGAGACAAGACAACATTACAGTGTTTGGCAAATTGTTCTTGATTCTTGAAGGTAGTGTACGGTCATGGTGAGCATTAAAATAAATAAATAAAGAAAAGGTTAAGTGTTTAATGGAAAATTAAGGAGGCACTATAGACGGAGAGGCAAGCTTATGAGTAAAAAGAGGAGTCAAAGTAAAAGTAGTTGTGACAAAAGGAGTGTGACCGCTGGGGCGACCAGGGCAGACGATGGTCTTTGTCAGTGATTGTTCAAACTGCGTCTCTATCCTCCAGTGCTTATGCATAATAATGAGAGAATAATTGTGTTTAGGTGTATTAGCATTCAGCAGCACATAAAAATCCAAAACTGCCCATGCCGAAAAATAAAAGTAGGAATATACACCTAGGTAAGCAATTAACTACATTGATTAATTAGATAGATACTGCCAGCGCCTTGGAAGCATCCAAAAGATTTCTGCACTTTACTGCATTTACACATCAGGCAGCGCGTTTTACATTAAGGAGGATCAAGTGCTGTGTCAGTGTCAGCGTGAGGCCAAAACGCGCATGAAATAAAAAAACAAGGTAAAAGAAACAAGTCTACCATTGCGGCATTGTTGAGACTAAAAAATAAAATAAAAATGATGAACTAATTGGTAAATATCATGTCATATTAAAATTAAAACTACTGACGACAAGTCGACTGCGTGTCTGGGCTATCCAATCTATTGGGCTCTTTAAAACAAGACTGACCAAACCAACCAATGGACCGAGTCCAAGTTAATCAGGGCGAACAATGGCAATAACAGTCATCTAACATATCGGCCTCGGATGTCATGAAGGCTACGATGTCAACGGACCCCCTTGTGAACATGGCTGATCGTTTTGCTTTTTTTTTTTTTTTTTTAGGGTGTGTTGGTTCAAAGAGATGGAGGCATTTTAATGTTATCTTATTTAATTTTATTGAAGGGCTAGAGAGATACGAACTAATTTATTATTATATCATTCCATGTGAAATTTATATATTTAAATTATTTCTTATGTAAATTAATTTTATATCTTGATTAAAATTGAATGGTTGAGATAATTTTACACCTTAAACCCTTCATAATAAGTACATCAATTTTTTTTATTTTTTAAAATTTTGGAGGTGCATTATTTTATTTGTTAATTCTTAATTTAATTTTAATATTTAAATTTTTAATAAAATATAAGAAAAATGGTTTATTATAATATTCAAACACCAATTATCATTTGCTTTCCATTGCTTTGGTGGTTCGTTGCTATTATTTGCTTTGATCTTCTAGGATATGGTCAAGATAAGGGGCGACGATGGGAGTGAATCTGGAAGAATGAAGAAGAAGAGGGCACACAATCACACATCGCTGGTGCTGACAGTGACAGGAGGAGGACATGGGTGACTGGTCCGGAAGAAGAAGGCTCACATATGTGAAGGGGCATTTTTTATATAATGGCATTCTTGGAATATTAATAGTAAAGTGAGGATAAATTACTCATCAATTTGACTCTCTCTCCTTAAAAAAGCCCTAAAATTGGATGGGAACAAGATGAGGGGAAGGGAAGGGGAAATTTTGACTCCCCTTCCCATCCAAATATGTCAATCAAATGAGGGGAGGGCATATGTGTATAATTTCCTCAATATACTAATCACAATAAAATTATAATCTAAAGTAATTAAAGGATTAACCCATATAGGATTACCATATTTGAAATTTGAAGAAAATGGGATCCCAAATTTTCCTAATGTAAATTCAATCAAAAACATTTATTTAACGATTCATCTAAAGATATGCAAAAGTCTTTCAGTCTTGTCTAGTCCAGTTCAACTCGAGATGACCTAAATCTTGTTCGGTCCATATAGATACTGGTCATTCAGGACCAAAAAGACTGAAAAAATTAGACTATTTTTTTGGATTAGACTGGACAAGAGACTAGACATTTAGACCATTTGGTCCAATCCAGTCCTATTAATTTTTTTATTATAATTATAATTAATTTATTTTTGATAAATATTTAAATTATAATTGATGCTAAGGAGATAATTGTATCAAGATTTGTTAAGTTTGTTTCTAAATTATTGTTGTAATGTAGTGTTGTTGAATTTTATTGAGTGTTGTTTTTGTTAGAGTTATAAATTTAAATCATTTAAACTATAATAGAAATATTTTTTTTCTTATTGTTAGAAGTTATTATGAATTTGTTATTATTATAAGTGTTTTTACTATCTTAATTAAGTTTATTATGTTAAAATAAATTATTGCCTCCTATAGAATAACAAGGGAAAAAAAGTTAAGTAAGTACTGGACTGATAGGATCAGTCTCCCAATCCTATAGACCAAATTCAATCTTATTAATCTTTGAATTATCACTGGACAAGACCGGACTACGGGTTGCCTAATTCAGTCCTTTTCATGAAAGAGACCGGACTTTAAGTTAGGATGAAGTCCAATGCCGTCCTGTCTTTTGTGCAACCCTAAATTTATCAGAGTAAAATAATATTTCAGAAACATAAAATACTTCATAAGAGTGAAATAATTCAAAAACAATTAAAAAACATCAAAGGCATAAAAACATAATAGTGCATCCCAACATGTGCACATGCCTCACAGCGTTTCCTTCTCTTTGCCACGTGGTAAAAGTAATAATGCATGCTTTCTATAATATTTCTACAAAATAAATCTATTTTTATAAAATCTCTAATTTATCTAAAAATCACTTATTTTTTTAATTTTAAACAAACAGACCCTAAAAATATTAAATAATCTTTTTATAAATGTTAAACATTTTTTTATTTTTGAAACATTTAAAAACTAATTTATTTAATCAATTAAACTATAAGAATTTAATTAAAATAAAATAAATTGTCAAAACTAGTTCAAAATTAATGAAAATTAAAAATTACAGATTAATTTTCCCTATCTTGTAAGAAAATAGTTGCCTAGTACTCGCCTTCTGCTTAGAAATTTGGAAACATGATGGATATCAACATCTAGTCTTCTACTTCAGATAAGATGAATTGGGGAAATGTACCTATAACTTTCATTACTTGGATGGCATTCACAATTCACCATTTCGTCTGTGTTTAGTTATAAATTTTTTAAGAACAAAAAAAACCTGAACGGTTATCACCCAAAGGCCATGCTCAACCAAGAACAACCAACACAGCGTAAAAATTGTTCCTGTCATTCAACATACAAAAATGCTTATTCAGAGCTTCTCGAAAGTGCCTCAGATGAAGATCCTCCTCGTCAGCTCAATTGAAATCAAACGAGAGAAAGAAGACAGACAGAAAGTGAAAGATAGAGAATGATGCTCTATTGACAGTTTTCTCCAAATCTTTACCGAACCAACTATTCCAAGATGACCGAACAACCAAAAGTTGAAAACTAACCATTTGCTTTCATATACATTTGACATCAATAAAAAGTTCTCGCAATATTTTCCGGACTGAATTATGTTAGTTCTTACAATTCAAATCACATCCATTGGCACGAAAATAAAGAGGGTTTATTGGGTGGCAACGCAGGTCGTTATAATAAATGATCAAAGATCAGATCAAAAGATGTCTCGCGTACCTTGAAGTAGTGGAAAGAAACTAAGCTCGAGTATTAGTAGTATTCTAGTAAAATTACAGTTCACCATATAAAGAATTCAAGCGCTGCCGCTTCTCTCATTGCTATGTAATGAGACCTGGTATTCACACTAGAAAATGATACAAAGAAAAAGATAAGAAATGCGACTAATATAAATCAGGTACCACCACCCTCCGTTGGTGTCGCGCATGGTGCCAGTGTGTTAGAAGGAAGGGTAATTCCACCCCCTCTGACTGATACATTGTTGAACTTGACAGAGCTTGCCCTACTAACCAGATTTGAGTCAAGAAACACCACAATCACAGTAATGTCGTCATGGAAATGTCGTCGAACCCCCCGGTCAATCTTCTTTAGGTCCGAATATCTCATTTCTCTCTTCTTTGCTGCTTCTTGAAGGGCAGCTTTCACCAGTCTCCTCGCACTCGCCTGAAATCATGATATACATAAAATATTCAATTTTCTACTAGGCTTCCTGCCTTGCATGCTTTAGCCACTCCAATCCAAACGCATGATCATACAAATCCTTTAAGCTGTTTCCTAGCCATGCATCATCAATCAGGAGAAAAATTTTATATCCACTTATGTAATTAACTAGTCAAGACTTATTATATGCAATGCCATTTCCTAACTCATCTGCATATCAAGATTATCCGTCAGTTTTGCGGCAGCTTCAAGGGCAACGAGCAAAAAAATTCCATGAAAATATCAGCATATCATTAATCTTTGAACTTTGCTGTTAGAATAAAAATTCGCAACAGATGATTAATTTTGCAAGTGTCAGCAAAGCTAAGGGGAGGCTTCATGACCCAGAACTTCAGTTCTACAGGATAATGATAGACACAACACTTCTTTAGGTACATCTCAAAGAACAAATATCTTGCAACTTAAAATTTATAGTTACACTGCTAGGCCAAAACATCGTACATTATATAATCTTCTGAGCCAAAAAAACTTCCCTTTAACTATATAATAATGGCATTTACTGTCTAGAAACAATTTCAACATTGCCTTCTTTTAAGTTTCATTGAGCAGAGAAAACAACTTTGACCAGATGAGTGCTTCTGTCAAAAGAAATGCAACATGCTTAAACAGTTTAGTAAGAAAGCACTCCATAAATTTATGGACAAATCAGATAAATGCCATTAGCTGTGAACTTCACATCTTAATAATGAAAATTATTCATGGTAAAGATATATGTGCCCTCATCTTAATAGACATCACATAACAAAACACACTATTATTTTCCCCCAACGGATTTTGCATACAAGCACAATACAAGACATGAGAACAAATGGAATTAAAACCATCCATTGTACAAAAGCACGTAACATGGCAATTCTAATTGCATATAAAGAAACTAGGAGTCAGGAACAGCTGATACAATTGAAAATCCCACATTAATTTCTCTGAGTTTTCAGCATAGAATGGCCAAAATCTATCAATTAATATAAACTAAGAGTTTGTGTAGAACTATCTGGTATTGCAGTATATAAATTCATATCTTACACTGCGGGGATTGTTTTGAACTATATCAACTGCTTCTTGATTGCTAAGATGCTCCCAGAGTCCATCAGATGCAAATATAACAAACTGATCATGTGACTGCAACTGATAGACTGATATTGATGGTTCTGAGCTCAGTATTGGCCTCTTGAATGGCTCGCGAAGTCGAAATTTAGCATACAGAGGTTCTCTATTGAACTCAGCCTTCTTCAAATATACATCTCCAATAGATCTAGAAACCTGAAAGGTAAAGGATTCTATTATCATATGATTCAATTAGAGGAAAAAGAGATGAAAAAATAATTTGCTTCAATTTAAGCCAAGCTGATGGATATAATTTCAAGTTGACGAGACCTGATAAAAAAAAATCAGCACTGCAATTGTTTTTCCACAATCATAGGATCAGATTAAGACTTGAGAGTTCTCAAGTTCCCTTGCACCAAGATGGACTGACAAAGCGGTGGGGCAGATGGACAGAGCAATGTTAAGGCATAAAATTAATTTGTTTCGCATGACAATTATAATCCTCAAATTAGTCTACACAAACTCAGGATAATCGCAAAGTTGAGCGGAAATTCCACAAGATAACAATGAATTAATTGATTAGTCCATGCTAACGGAAATTCTGGTCATGTACAGTCATTATTGTCTGACATCAACCAATTCTAAATATAAAAGCTATGGAAATATCTGCAGTGTTGCAAATAACCAATGCCCCCTTTCTATCAACAATCTTGACAATCGATACCCTTCAAGATTCTTATATAGTAGTAAATTTTTCTTCCTCTCCTCCCCGGGGGCCCTGCCAACCTCTTTTTTTCCCCCCCTTTTATTTGC